TATAATTTACCTTTTCATCATTATCGTAAAATGAAGTTGATTATTTATGTGTATTAGAGCATACTTACTATTTGGATCTGTAGAATTTGACTTGCTGCAAAAAGAAAAAAAAGTGGATAAGAACTAATATTCATATATATATATGGTTTAATGACTGCATAATTATTTTTAATACTGAGTCATGACAAAACACGCACGTAGCGGGGGAAATAATCTTAAAAATGCCTCGTAATTAAACGTTGCTTTTTTTCGACATCACTAAGATTTTTAAAATGTGCTCTCCCGTCTTGAATTACGCAATAACTTTTGACCTGACAAAGGCTCGTTAAAAAAAGGGCGTTTACGTCACGTCATAGAAATGTGCTCTAACGCTCCCACACTTTAGATTGAAAGAGATGAGATTAAGCCAGGAGTTAGCTGCATCAATATTTGAACAGGAAATAAACACACAAGATAGGACGGGAACATGAAAAGATTCAGTCCTGTTTCACACCAGTTAGTGCCTTCCTGCAGACCTACGTTACATGCTTCGAGACTGATCAATTCCTCAATCAGCAAGTATCGAAATTCCTACTAAGCTCTCCTTTTACACGTCCAAGCAGAGCATTCTTTTCCCGTCCAATAATAATCTTTTTATGAAGAAATATATCTTGTAATACTATAAAAATAATCGGCCAAAACTAGACCACTTGGTTGGCTTGAGTTCCAGCGTTCATTTAATACTTTTCATTGACTCAAATTTTAATTTTAAAACTTCAACCAACATAATATTTCATCAAAAATAGCTTGAAGTATATTTGGTGACAAAAATTAGAGAATTCTAGATTAAAAATATTAATAATATTTATATTTTACTATTTATATTCAATCTTCGTGTCCATCTGTAACAAGTGAAGTAGCCCTGTAGCGGTTTTTCAAAGATGCTGTCGTTTCTGTGTAGTATGATTTGAATGAGTCAGAAATACAAAACAATTTTTGAATGATAAAGATAGCACCAAAATAGCGGTGAAAAGGCGATAAATAAAATATGATATATATACACTTGATTGCAGAAAGGTTGTAGTATACATTTATACAAATACCTAATTTATTCAGTATATTTAATGATATGCAAAACAGAAAACTCGCTTTATTTATTATTTGTTTCATTCAGTGAACGTCAAAAAATTGTAAAGGTTCTTACAAATTTGTTTTCAAAAAATGTCCAGCGTTCAATATTAAAAGTTGCCACAAAATAACTCAAATCCCTTATGTTACGTCATAGTCATTAACATATTGGAAATATAAACCTTCGTATCTTAAAGACCCGACATTCAAATGACGAATTATTTTCACAATCAACTATTCACTATTTAAAGACTCAATTCTGAAAATATTGTGTAAAGGCTTATATAAGCACTTTAAATGGAAATATATTTTCGGGTTCATGGTTACGAGCTTGAAGTCGATAATCCAGCAAGATATATTATTTCACTGATTGGCTTGCTTTTAGGGGGATCCCCTAATATTGCTGAAGACGTCGATGGTAATCATATAACTTCAGCGTTTTATTAATAAGTTTCTCTGAGTTTTCATTTTATTTTTATCGTAGAAAATAAACCGCAAATAACGACTAATAATCCTAAATAATTCTGTCTCTGATTGTGGTAAAACCTGTGAACCCTAGAACATTTACAAAAATAATATATTGTATTTCATTATAGATACCATCAAAATCATTTGATACATAACAACCGCAGTACGAATATATAGTATATATATACGTTCTCATATACATTATGGATACGAGTTTAGGGTTTACGTATTAGTCTAGAAGTTATTTAGATAAAATAATATCAGCGGAAGACGTAGGAAAGGACCAAGTGAATCCTACGCTTCATACTCCATCTGTTTCGTAGAAAGGAAGACAAATACCGAAACTAATGACGAAGGAGACTAGGAGTAAGCCCACAAGGTTTCTTCGATTAAAAATAAATTACCGACAAAATTTCATTTCATTTTGAAATTTTGCTTTTAGTCTTATCTAATCCTATATATGCTGTCATTCACTTTTCATTTTGAAAAGCAAGGTTTATTGTTTCACCTGCTCCCAACGATTTCTCTTTCTAAAATTTCATAAAATCGGCTTAAAAAATCAACATTAATATAACGATCAAAAGCATGTTTTGTTTTATGTATTCTCGACAGAACAAAATAGAGAAACGACTTCGAAAGCAATATTTTAATATATTTTTGTCTAGTGAACAAAAATGGATCGCCGTCTAAGTTAAAATTCATCGTAAGCTAAGAGTTTCGATTTTCGTTGTCATTTCTCCATCGAATTCATCCGTACCTTTAAAGGGACTCTGAGGTGCCAGACACATCATAGCTTAAAATGTACATCAAATCTTGTTGATTTTGAAAATCGAAATGAAAATTCCATGAAATGCTTTTTTGGGGTGATATCGTCAGTCAAAGTTGCGAAATAACTTAAGCTGGGCTCCCTGTGGAATATCCCGGATTTGATGGCTTGGGATGAATGAGGTGTGATGACGTCAGATAGTGGAACTTGTTGAATAGCTGGAGCTGAATCAGCCAAATTTCGCTATGGAAGTATGGCTGTTCTTTGTCAATTTGAGCCGGAAATTGCTTGAGGAGAAGAATATAATACACCCGATGAAAGTGTGATCGAGGACAGTGAGCTAGAAGAAGTGGCGAACGAGGAAAGGCTTCTAGGAATCGATTAAAGTCAACAATGTGTCGTGATGAAAACTGCTGGCTGATATGTGTTTATGTTGTTAAATGAGCTTATTAGGTAAA